TTATTCTTCTTAGCTAATTATAATTATTTTCACGGCACTTCGCCGACTTAAATCTTCTCAGCTCTTGTACGCTGAGGGCTTCTTGGAAGGAATTGAAGTGTAAAATGAACACCAAAAAATCGTCATTGTAGCGTCATTTTTGTTTATTTATCTTTTTCATTTTGGCTCTTTGGGGGGAGGGCGCGTCGCCCCCCCCCCGCACCAGCCACCTTGTATTTAAAATTGAAATAATTTGGGGCAAAGTTGGTTCATTTATCAACTGGATGTGACGGGTAAACAGTAACCACCAACCTACAGTGTTTTCTACAATTTGCTATGACAGTAGCGCTTAACATAAACACTGACCAAGGGAACAATGCTGTCATCGCACATGTGTTATCTGTTGATGTCCATTGCCAGGAGACGGGATTCAATCACTTTGAAATGCAAATAAAAGTAAAGAATGATATAGGATCTGATCTCCGCCTCTTACTTATGGGGATCAACTGCTGTTGTGCAGACTATTGTGTGACGACTCACGTCATCGATGACTGCCCTTTACTACTTCAACTTTTGAGTCCCGATTGTCCTATTTTTACAGACTAAATTTGGGTTAGACGCGCAACTTCATCATTCTTGGAGATACGGCACTTTGAGACACTCACTGCTGAGGATACCTGCTTCAATTAAAAAAGGTAAGAGTACTAACAGGAAAGACCCTGCATCAGCGGAAGTCTGTTTCCTTGCTCTACTATAGTAGGACCACTGCGCGCGGCCTACAAATGCTTCGTGTGCTTCGTGTCACTCTACCTGTAGGCTGTATATGTATGAAGTAGGCCCAGCTGAAGGGTACATTTAATGTGATGATGCTAGCATAATGTCGAATTGCATAATGGAACATTTGCTCCCTCATTGTAGGCCCCACTGTTTCAGTCTCTGTCAAAATGTTTCCCCCTCCATTTGTGGGCGCCCGCGGCATGCAGACTAGGCCCCTTCGTAAAACTTTCAATATTTATTTTGTACATGTACTTTTGTAGGGCCTTTATAGTTGTTCGGGGATTGGATAAGTCTGTACTAATTTACTATTTTGTAGAATATTATTAAAACCCCTCATTTAAAATCAAGAATGGCAGTGTAATTCCTTGCATGCATGGAGAGTCATTTCTTGCCTTCATGCTCCTCCTAGCTAGCACTATAAGCCATATCGCAAATGGTGATTTTGCACAATGGTAGAAAGGCATTGTGGGAAGAAAAAAGGAGCAAACATTGCCCCTTTTTCCTTCCCACAGTGTCTTTCTACCATTGTACAAAATCACCCATGCAGTATTTGCGATAAGGCTTACAGACCCTGGAAATTAAGAAACACAACTGTCATCATATTCATGTCAGATTTCGACTTAAAAGAAGTGGGATTGTATTTCTTTTACAAGTATCATTTGGGATTTAATTTCAGCTAGCTAGGTTTTTAATTTGTTGTAAATAGTAACGTACAAAGCTTTTCCTTAATCATTTTCTTAAATAGTATGAAATACATCGAACATATTTCAGTGCATCAAAAACCTTCCTCTCTTTCTTCAGACGCTCAGTCTTAGGAAAATCTGTTATCATGGGCTGTGCAGCAAGTGAGATGAGCACGGTTCAACAACCGAAACCGTACCCTGTGAAGCAACCCGCCCAGGCCACCTACCCAGTCTTAGCCCCACAACAAGTGCCACAGCAGCAGGTGCCACAGCCGGTTCTGTCCACGGCCCCTCAGCAGACCATGGTCCCACAGGCTGCTCCACCTGTCCAGCAGGCTCCGCCTCCCCAGCAGGCTCCGCCTCCCCCGCAGGCTCCAGCTGAGAATAAAGATGACGAGGACATTCAGGTAAGGCCCCTTTAAAAACAAAGACACAGACGTGTTCCATTTTGATAGGTGTGGGTTTTACAGTACACACATGTTGAAATGTAGATGTTGTTCGGATCAAAAAGGTCATGGAGACAACTCTCTTTTCGCACAACTGAGTCTTGACTTTCCTAAGAATGAGAAATTGTCACTTGAACAGGGTGAAGGCCTACCTACTACAAAACTACTGTTTCACTTGAATGTTCCAAATAGGTCAACCTCTACCAGATGTGCAGCAGGAGACAAATTTCTCTGAAAGTCGCACTTCTATTAAGGGGTTTTTGGAAGGGTTTCAAAATACAGACTTTTTAGGGGGGGGAAACATTCTTGCCACATCTTGCAGACTGAGATGTCTTCGAGGTAGAATGTACAATGTAGTTAATGGTAAGAGATTAAATACATGCTTGGCCTGTCTTAAACGTGCATATAAGACGAGCTCAGGAGAAAAGATGCAATTAATGCCTTCTCCTGCAGCATTATCCTCAGTTTAAGACCAGCCAAGCCCATAGCCTATTTATTCCCGTTCATAAATACCTTTTTAGTCAGAGAGTCAAAAGAAGTCAATATATGATGGATTTCCAGCGATTTTGTTCTAGATTTTTACTTTCTGTTTCTTAAACACCCCTGTCCATTTATCGAATATTCCTTGTGCAAATTGTCCAGTTGGCGCACGTGGCGAGCCACATGCACACAGACTCTTGACCAATCAGAATTGATTAAACTGTCTTGTATCCAGGTGCCAGCACGTGATTTACGCACCAGGCATTATCACTTCTCAGCAGGCATTATCAAATGTTAATACAAGTTGCATGTTGTTGAATAGGGAGACTGTCTGAGGTATTTATAAATATTTGATAACTGTGTTAGTAGAAAAAGACATTGTGTGACATTACAATTATAATAAAAACACTGATTTGTTATTTTTCATTGGTTTTCAAAAAATAAGTCATATCTTGGAAAAATTCTCAGAGAAAAAATGGCCAATTTGAAGCCTTTGTCTTTCTAACAGATGTATGTGTATTGCTGTGATCTTGGTCGGTGCATGTTCGCGGTCCTCAAAATCATGCACAATTTTTTTTTTTCGTCTTTTCTTAACTTAAATCACCATAGCCTGAGCCTGTTGAAATCAACGAAGCCCTTATTCAGCTGTTAGTGGACATGGACAAGGAGATTTCATCCCTGGAATCCCGCAACGTCACCAAGCAGTACCAGCTGAAAGTGGACCAGATGAACCGCCTCACAGCCCAGGTCCAGGCAATGGCTCAGGAACAGCAGGCCTTGGCCCAGCAAACGTAAGCCCCCGATTGCCATCTCAATCGGCCATGGCTATTCTGTAGAAGAGACTGCAATGAAACAAAATGTATCAATTTCTGTTGCATCGAGCGACCAGAAATAGAAGCTGTTACTTCTGTGGTGCAGTGCTCCCGCACAGATCATGCATGTTCATTCAATGCCAAAAGGGAATTACCAACCAATAAGGAATGGTCACTTGAGAATACAAACACATGCTCCTCAGGTTTAGGAATGTATACTCCTTGGACTTTAGTGTGATGCCATTGTAGTAATGGCATCTTCTCAAATAGATCTGTGCAGTCATTAAAATCAGGAGGAAACTGACTTTCAAAGTGACAGTGGCAGGTACGGTTTTAATCTTAGCTTTGAATAATAATGTATACTGACATTAACAAATAACAATAACATCAGAGGTTTCTAGAACTGACCCATCCCATCTATTGGAATTTAAGAGATTTAGAATTTTAAAAGAGATGTGGGATAGAAAAAATGTATTAGCCCAAAAGCATTGCTCAGTTGAACGACAGATTATGTGCAAGGATTTTGAAATAGTGCCCACATAAGGCATTAACTCCCAAAATAGATCATAAAAAAATTGTTCAGCATAAATAGAAGTCATACAGTCGTGTATAAAGTAAACAAGTAAGTCAGTTAATCACATATCAGATCGCAAGTGAGTGATCAGTTCACTAGTGAGAGAGGATAGGTAACAGCAAAGGACTGAATGGAATTGGAGCATTTGTCACAGTGCAGTCTTCAAGACTTGATAGGTTGTGGTGGGCTTGTTATTGCTTAATACATAAATGGGTAATCCCAGATATTAGGGGTCCAACAGTGTGACATGTGTGTGTCCCTGTTACATGTACATCTGACCTTTGTTACCTAACGCGGAAATATCATCGGAATTGATTTCAAAATATTACTCTTTGTTTGGCAGGTAATTTGCATTAATTTGTCACTCTTGAAAATCAGAAAACGTGTTCTGAACTTACAAAATCATATGTCAGATGTGACGGGGACACGAAAAAAATAGACCCCTAATTTCTGGAATTACCCATATAATATTAGTGCGTAGAACACAATACCAAAAGTGTTAAGATTCAAAAGTATGTATCTGAAAGGCATCCAGACTCCACTTTGCTTAAATTCATTGAATCGGTGCAAGGATTTCAGTTGGTTTTCTTGGTTTGTGATTGCAGCCAGAAAGAGTACCAGGATGTGGTGAACCTGCAGAACATGCAGTCCACCCGGCAGATGATGACACAGGGCCAGTACACCGCCCAGATGAGCAAAGAGCAGGAGGAGTACATGCAGGCGTTGTCCAAGCAGGAGGTCCACAAGAAGGAACTGGACGCCACCGGACGGCAGCTGGAGGCATTCAAGAGAGAGGTGGCCTCCCTGAAGGCTGAGTCGGACCGGATCCGGGAGCTGTATGACAAACAAGATGGCATTCTGGGTGAGAACATTGAAGGTTTCTTGGCTCTAAATCTCATATGTCTACACCTGTAATCAACCTTAGAGTTGAAAATGATTTGACTCTTGCAGTGGTGTTTTCATCCAATGCCACCTCTTGGACTCAGGTTTGAATCCCACCAGGTTAATGCACAGATTGAATTTTCCTGATTTCACAGTTTTCATTAGAAGATTAATAGGGGATTTCTTCCTATGCCAAATTTTAGAAATTTCTTCATTATTCATCTCAGCTTACTTCAGGCTTCTGTGCTAAAGCGCTCAAGCATTTTGTATGAACCCTTGGTTTCACTGAATTTGAAGGAAATCAACTTTTAGAAACATAAATAATGAAATTGCAATGCAAAACTGATTAGTTGGAACAAATCAGAGTAAATGCAGTGAAATGTGAATACTGATACAAAGGCTTTTGCCTACTCATATCTCATTGATATCTGTTGATATTCCACTTACTAGCATCATGGGGATCACGTAGAGAGGATGGGCTATCAATCGTTCTTTCTTGTCTTTGATGCTCTGTATTGGAGGAGGGAGATGTACATGTATGGAGTTGAACTGAATATGGATGTTGTCAGCAGTAGCTAAGGCTGCATCCGAATCTCTTGTCTAGAGCTAGGTCTAGGTCTTCGCTCCATTGGAAATGCGTGGAGACGCGCAGATAACAGACCTAGCTGTAGCTCTGGAAGCCCGTTTCAGACATGGTCTTAGTTTTATTCCATCTTTCCCAGTCCTTAATCTTGTTGTGGTAATGATAATAAAACAATATTACCAGTACTTGATTTTCAATCAAGTAATCGCCTCACTAAATGGGAGGAAACTACCAAACGACAACAGCTAGATGTTACCTGCACTCAAATCCACATAGTGAATAGGATTTGGGATGCTGAACTGGTTACTGAAAATTATTACCATTTTGGAAACACTGCCATAACTGGTCAGGCCCCCTTTACTGTACTTTAGACTTACTCCTGTACATGCCTCAGTGGGTACTCAAAGAGAACAGGAATCTTAGTGATAGCACAATTGGCTTGTGTTGCCTACTATCTCTATGGGCAGCCACAGTTGGCAGCAATATCACCCTCGGTTGGTGTCAGATTTTAGCTTAGAATGTACATTTGCCCCGTTAACTTTGAAGAGTGTAGTATGTTTACATGTGTTAAGCAACAGAGTTTATTATGTGGTGTCTTGATGGCTGTGTGAGATATTCTGACACGTAGAGATATATTCTCTCTTTTTTTTTTTACACTGATGGCCAGAGATAGATAAGTAGGCAAAAATATGAAGACGACTGTTACATGTACAGAAAGAACAGGCCCTTTGGCAGTCTGCAGTAGTGCTACTGTAATGTACATCAATCATGTACACTTATATTCTTATTTTACTGCCTGACACTTCCAGATGCATAGCACATGATCATCCCTGGCCAGGCATATAATCGGGAACAAAAGCAAGCATTCAGTGTCTCAGCTAGTGAAGGTCCAGATTGGCCACCATTGTACTCACTGGGGGATTTACTGTTTGAACAGGGATCTAAATGGTTTAGTTAAAGGCAGAGTAGGCTGTTGCTAAGTGATGCAAACAGGTGTCTGTGTGTGTGCACATTTTATATGTGTGAGTGTTTGTCGGTCCCTGTACATGCATGTAAAAGATATTTAATTGTATGTTTTTAGAGAAATAATCCTTCTAGATAAAGAAAAGGATGTCTTACGTGTATAGTCACTGAATTCTGTTTCAGAATTTGTTATCCAAACTGCTTTAAAATTGGCCTGTGGTTCCCTATCATGTAGTCATTTACTCATACACATTTTCCTGTGGGAAAATTGATCTGTTTTTCTGATCCAGGAATCAATCGTTTCAGTTATGATCATTCCAGAGAAGTACAAATGAAGAAATATTGTAAAACTAAAAATTAAACAACACTTAAAAAGTGATATAGCCACAATGCTTTAAATGCTTTTAATGTAGAGTAAAATAAGGGTAGTGATTGCTTCGGTTTTAGTTGTGTTCATGCCTAATACATGCATAGCTTTTTGGCAACTATTGACAAGTAGCTGTTCAATGTGTTAAATGTCTTGTGACTTGTAATATCAAGTACATGTACGTGTATATGTGTTTTATTCATTGCCAAAATACCAAGTAACTTCTGTTTTTTCTTGAACAAAAATCAAAACTGGTTACAGATTGTGATCTGTCATAAAGAACAGTTTGACATGTCAGACATCTATTTTTGTTTTCTCAGTGAAGAACCACCTTCTCTTGGGAAAAAAAAGGAAAGCGTGGCTTTATTCCACAAAGATTTAAGAACTTGGGTAAAGTGTTGGCAAAAACTGACATCTCAATTTTGATCACAGTTTCATTGAATCCTCCAGGCCCAGCTTCACATACCTTTATGTAAACAGCTAAGACTCATCAGAATTTTAATATTATTCATTTAATAAAATGTACATATAAACAAGCCTTTGAAGAGCAGGCCAGATACGTGCAGAGTGCATACTTAGGTGTGGGGTATATTCGCTTTCCACTCTTTCAGCAAGCATCTTTGATGGCAAGTACGGCAGTGAGCGAGAGTACAGTCTGGAGTCAGACCTGGACATCGCGCTGGAGCGCAAACAGAGAGTCGGCGTGGCCAAGTACAAGTGGCAGAATGCCAAGGTTCTCCTGCAGCATGCCGGTGGCCAACTGGGCTTTGCCATTAGGCGTTGGGGTGATGTCATGCAGATACCACCTCAGTAAGTCCTGGGTGCATCCTACTTAGAGTTCTAACAATACAGCGCAGGCCCATTTCAACTTTGGGTTCGAGCGTTACTGATATGATCAGTCATTGCAGCACTAGAATCAGCAAGGGACCAGTGAGGGGCATGGGGCTATTTTCTGACGGGGGAGTCAAATTTCTGACGTCAAAATGCTGAGCACCTGTTAAACATGTCCACAGTGGCACATGCAAATAAAACAACTACAGTCATGCAGCAACTTTCATTAGGAGGTTTTCAAGTTGCCCAAACTGTTTCAAGACATTCAAATAACATCATATGACACTCACAGCAATATCAGGCGCACTCCCAGTTACTTTTTGTGGTGTGTGTGTGAAGAGTGCTTGTAAAGTCTGCCATGTAAGTTGGAGAAACTACTTTAGCTTTTAGATGCCGAAACAAATTTTATTTCTTGGTGCTTTTTATAGAGGAAAACAAGAACAGGTTTTGGGGGAGGTAGAAATTAGAGGTGGAAAGTGTTTGGTATTTTCCCATACCATTAAGCAGATCTGACAGTTTGGTAATGCACCCCCTCCCATCATGTGAATCACTATTTGAATGTTTTTTTGCTCATTGTTTTTCAGGAACGTGGACATCCGCTACAAGTTTGCCGCCGAGTGCCGCAACAACTTGGTGGCAGCATCTCAGAACATCACCAGCTCCCAGCAGTACCTGAACACCATCCGCTTCCCTTACTGCACCCCGGATGAGATTAAGACTCTGAACACAGCCATTAACCACATCTTCACCGACCTCCTGACCCCGGAGAGGCACAAGCACGCCATGGAGTGTTACGTGACAGTCTACCGGAGGACCTCAGCACTCATTCAGTGGTGTGACCATGTGAGTCCGGGCACCAGATGCTGATTACATTCTGGCAATTGAATGTTTGGCAGTGTCTGAGCCTGCATTCAGGACTAACACACACACATATTGTCACCGTTTCCACGCAGAGACACTTTAGCCCAAAATCATGTTTTTCTTTTTCAAATTTAAGGGGTTTTGGGGCAAAATTAAATAGGCTGTGCGATGCCTACAACTTGGTGTCACCTTGTTTTCTCAAATCTACTGAAATCAGCTAAAACATGGTGATCAACCTGGGACAGGTTTCAACTAAACTGCATTAGCGTTTTCACAAAGAGGCAAATTTTTCTTCCATAAATATAGCATTAGCAAGAAAGGACAAGTTCATGGGCAAACTTGTTTCGCCATTTTCACGAAGAGACGAATTTCACTCTGGAAATGTTTACAAATGAAAAAATTTTTGCACCTGCTATAGCAAAATAGCATGTGTCTTCAAGAATAGACAAAGGTCACGTGAATTTTAGTATTTTCACGAAGAGGCAAATTTGTTAGTTTACAAAATGGACGATTTTTATTGACTTCTAGAAATTTTATTTGGCAGTTTTGTGTCATTTAAGATCCCCTCTTATATGCAGTAGCATTACTTAATTCAAAGGCATGCTAAATACTAGGAAATAAGCATTTGAAAGAGAGACTATCTTCAAATGCAATTTTCTCGAAAAGTCTTATTCTAGTGACGTCAACAAATCTGTCCCTCCGTGAAAAGACCGCTGATATCTATGGAAAACGGTTGCATCTGTTTTCACAGACAAACATGTTGTCTAACCGCAGCCACAACAGTTAGACACGTCTTTACACTAAGACTCATCTGGATAATATGACCCCAAGTTGTAGTAATTACAATTGCTCCCCTATTCATGAATTATTATTCACACTTACCTTCTATCCCACTTAGTCCTTCAAACCCATTCACTCCAACAAGTGATTACCTCTATGTTTTTGTAGTGGACCATTTCCTGAAGTGATGCGAAGTTTTTAAAAGTTCTTCCAACCTTAGGTTCTTACCACAAACTAATTTATTAGTTCTCTCATGATTTTTCAAAAGCCTAAATCAAGACTAGTTTGACATTGGATCTTGAAATACCAGCAATAAATTTATTTTAAAACAGGACGTGATACACTCCATGACACAGAGGAACTAGATTGGTTTTCATTCAGGAAGTGCTCCAGACATGCGAAACCATACAAACATGACAAATATTGCCATACAATAACCTAATACCATTTTATGATACCTTTGATATTTGATACCTATGATATCTTATAGTCTTTCCAGAGTGCTGAAATGATCTATTATAATTTCTCCTCTTATTCTGTCAAACGCACAGGTCATCAACAAGACCATCTTGAAGGACCTGGAGTCAGCAACCAAGGAATGCGCCACCAAGCAGCAAGAACTGAAGCAGGAGCGACTGAAACTCATCAAGGAGAAAGTAAGAGAGAAGCTGGGGAACGATGCAGCGGACAGGATCCAACTCACTTCAGGTAGGGACTCCCAACTAACATAGGCCTTCAGGGGGTACAAACACATGACATGACTGCTGAGGCTGGTTGTTGGTCTGTCCCATGATGGTGAACACCAAACATTGAGGGTCGGTGGATGCTGAAAGATATTGGGGCAGTTCATTGTCGTGTGTTTGCGGATCAAGTGTACAAAATACCCACAGACTAATTTATTAAATGTGGTGATCATGTGTGCACTGGCCCAATCATGAAAATGGCAATGGCTTCGATAGGTACGAGACCTCCGACTTTTGACCTTTGATAGGTCTAAGCTGCCAGTAGCAGCTGGGACCGCCGGATGCAGCCTTAAGCTCTTGCATCGGCCGGCTGATTCACCTCATCGCAAACTCATTTCTTAGGTCAAGACACACCAAACCTTTATGTCCATTGATCTTTTAATAAACTCAATGGCAGGGCACTTGTTATTGGCCGACTGGCTTAATTACAAAGGAAAATGAGTTCATGTGTACCATTCTATCAAGATGTATCGTTTTAATCAATTTCTTGTGTCGATGTAATTTGTATTTTAGTGTAGTCGGTGTTTTCTGTGTTATCTTGCTACTTCTTAATGTTATCACTGTTAACTTATATTTTTGATATTAGATTGTTTTCTGTAATTCTGTTGTGTGTTTTTTATTTGGTTTATTTTGTTTAATTTTATTCATATTTATTTGTAAATAGTGTATTGACTTGTACAGTGCGTTTGAATATTTTTTATCGAAGTGGCACATTAGAAATGAAATAAATGTTCAATATTTGCATTCCCACAGAAGGGGGCGCAGAGGCCGAGAATGTGGACCAAGATGAAGCTGAGCTGCTGATGTTGGTGGAAGCAGATGCTGTATCCCAAGCAGGGGACCTGGCAACGGTAAAGTCGCCCTTCACCTCTATCCACCCCATGCACAAGAAAATTTGACGTCACAAAACATTTGCAGCAAAATTTACTTGAGTTGACATGCTTTCAACTGGTGCAAATTTACAGCACGAATATTTGATCTGATGTTTCATTTTTGTGATCACTTTTGTGTCAAGTATGAACTGGCCTTAACCACTTCATGCCAGGGTACCCAGTTTCGAGGACATAGGCTTTATACATGAAGCCTTGCAACGAAAGACCGTACTGGGAATAAAAGACTGAGCTGCTGGGAATTGCCAACATTTTTGCAGTTTTCAATAGCGGAGGAAATCCGTCATTGTATTGAAAGATTATACCACTGTTTGTGGCATTTAGCGCAAGCGGATTACCACTGGTGACAAAAGTGTTTCAGTGATGAGCGATACAATACCGCTGCATGCTAATCTGGCCCCTGTTGAGGCCAGCACTGCACTGTGCCAGTTTTGGGAACAAAAGAAACTTACATAACACCGCACAATTTGGGCTCTTTTTACAGGGCAGCAGGCCTGGCTGAAATACTCGGGCATCAATAAATGTTGTCTGTCAGATTGGAGTAGCCACCATAGAGTCATTCGTGTGGGTGTAAACGTCCAGTAAATGAAGTTATGAATTTTTAAAGAATTTTGAAACAGAAAAAATAAAACTTACCCAGCCCAGCAGAAGTGGTTAAGTGAATTTTCTTTCAATAGTTGACAGTGTCTAAAATCCACAATAGGTCCTCCTCAATCTGTTCCCATGTACTGTTTCCCCTCCACAGCTGGCACCAGAGAGCTCTGGCCCCAGCGCCATCACACCCCTCCCCCTCAATGAGCTTGCCCCAACCCCATCGATGGATGACCTCTTTGGAAACATTGATGAGCTCAAGAAACAACATGAAGATAACGTAAGCCATATTTGGATGTTGATTGCCATTGTTACTTTGTTTCTTTCACCTCCCAGAGGTGAAAAATTTTTGTGGACCATATTAGCTAAGGCTGACAAGGAAAACAGGGAAGTACGTCTCCCCTCCATCCCGTCGCAACCTCTCAAAAAAGAAAAAATATTTAGACATAGTCAAAGTGTGAAAAAAAAGCCCATCCGTCTGATTACCTGCAGTTCATTCCACTTGATGATCATTTTTTATTCACGACATGCAAATTTCTGATTGACCAATCAGGTGAGGGAGCTGCAGCGCCAGCAGGAGATGGCCAAAGCGCGGGTGGACCAGGACCTCCAGTCTAAGCTGGCCAAGAGGAGAAGCCGGCGGCGGCGCATGCAGCAGCAGGAGACAGAGATGCAGTCACTGGCCGACAAGAGCTAGGAACCCTGGCCAGCCCACAGCAGCAGCTAGCTCCTAAATTTAAACAAACCCAAGTCACCTTGCAAAAGGTTCAGAACCATGTGCACACTGGGTAGATTTCTAGCAACTACATCTTCAAAATGTTAATGCAGTTTCAACAAAGACAATCTGTTTCTGACTTTCTGTCAACTTGGTGACCACCGATAATCATAACCTTTGGCTGTACTCAGGTTTTGAGCGTGTGGTTTCTACTTACTCAAAGACCAATGACTGTAGCATTATAGTACTCATTACCCAAAAGTGCAGAAGTAAAACTGTGTGGTGCATCACAGATACACATCAACAAAGGAATCAGAGCAAATGTTTATATTGTTGTGACAGACAATCCCCATGATTCTACTGAGTCACTTGGCCCACTTCTGTTTTGTGTTTGTGCATGTAGTTTGTGCATGTATTTTTATTTGAACTGTAAATATGTAACTTTTCAAAATTCAGGAAGCTGTAATACCTCTGCATTGTGTTAGCCAGCTCATGGCAAATGAACAAAGCTAATCCATGAATTTGAAATGTGCATTCCAAACAGACAGGACCTTTGTATTCTGCCATCTCCAATATTGGTGAAAATTGTTTCTTGGAGAGAGCATCATCATTTAATGCAAAACTATAGATAAAAGTAAGTTGTCCACTTATTAGGGTACTTTTTGATTACATACACAGTCCACCTCGAGCTGAAGCACCCCTTTCGTCCGGTGAAAATAGCCACAGTGGTCAGGAGTGTCCATTTTGTTGGTGGTAATGTGACTGAAATACTTGCATTTCATTCATGAACCAGCAAAGTTCAGTTCCGACCACAGGAGCCTCCGTTGCTAAGAAAATTGTGCCCTCTCTTGGTCTAGCTCAAGGGTCATAGGTCGATAATGCCAACCAACCATCAAAACTACTTCTCAGTTTTATAAAATCCTAACAGAGTTGGCAAACTTGGATATAAAAAGAATGGTCTCTCAGCAATGACATCATAAATGTTGGTATCCATGACAAGTAGCATTTGTCCTTGCATAACCCAAGCAATTTTCTCCCTTATGACATAGACCTGGAGCTCTAGGTCTGGTCTGTGCTTATGGATAAGCAGAAGAGCACTATTGTGAAGGACAAATGGGACACATTTGTCCACCTAGGCCTACCCGCTGGCTACAGCAACAGTGCATGTTGTCAGCTGCTGGGCTCGGATTCATCAAAATGAACTCCATTTCTGTCAAAATTAACTTGAGTTGTTGCAAGTTCAGCATGTATAAAGACACGTATTGACAAACCAGATTCCAACCCAACTACTCATAACCTATTCCATCCACCATGTTAACCAACCAGCCACAGGCACACTGACATGACAACAGCTGACAATGTTAACAATAGTAGACACCCCTTGATTGGTCAAAACCGGGAGGTCAGCACAAGGTTGTCTTGCATAATTAATCAGGAAATCTGCTTGCATGTGATAGACGCTTGCTGCATACAAGCGCGTGTCTATCACATTGACTAAGTACAATGGTGGGTTAGGGAGGAATTTGTGTTTGACGTTGCTGATATTAAAGCTAGCTAACTGGGGTAGTTTATGTCATGGAAGATTCAAAGATGTCTATTTCAATTCCAGTAGCACTTACAGTGAAATACAGAGTGTACATTGACATTTTTTTTATCTGAATGAAATCGGGCTGTATAAGGTAAAACTATGTAGTTTTATCCATTATTTTTTAAAAAACAAGAATGTCAGGAATAAAGATAAAAGCAACATTTAATGGACATGCAGGATTACATTTCTGAAATACCTGCCTAAAAAGTTACTTGCAACAGATATAGATGTCTAACATGAGCATGGCATATTTATTGAAATTAATGTTGGACAGTAGTAATAATGCACACAGTTTTCTTCATGTGTATTTATCAACATTGAATTGATAAGAAAATTAGCGGGCATTATACCTTAAAAATTTAGGATGGCAGTGGTAAGATGGCTGCAATGTCACTGTTGTTATTACACTATATAATGTGCGTACCAGTTGGCCCTAATACATACGGTTAATGCACCACCGTGTGCTGCTGTCAACATGGACCATAATATACTGTGGTTGGGGATGAAATGCTGTGTACATATAAACCAGTCAGGGTGCGAGAACACAGTGCATTCAGAGATGCACCTGGTCATTGCAGTACGGGACTGTGCCAGCTGGCTGTGTTGTTCAGATGAAAGGCCGCTACATGTATTTTGTATAGTACCTGGCCTAACACTTCCGGCACTGTAGGTTTCCTGAGTGGTTAGTTATTTCCTGCAGTAGTGCATCCAAGGAGGGTGGCAGAGTGCTACAGACTGAATGCAACGGCGAGAGTAGCCAAATTGGAATGACAGAATGAGTTATAAATGTGAGATGGGATGGTGAAACTAAACGAGAAAAGGCCTCAAATTGTGTGTGACAAAATCATTCCCAATCTATTATCTTATCAGTGCCTTACTGATAATTTTGTAATTCAACCGAAACCGGTCATTAATTCTATTTTGCAAAGGGCAATCAAAAGTTGTAACATCCTCTCTGATTTTCTACATGGATTTATGCTTTCTGATTTTTCACTAGACAAAATTACGTATAATGTATAGTTAGCAGAACACCTTGAATTCGGCCTACCAAACCATCCAGCCTTCCGTTCTTGTAAAGTACTTTTTCAAATGTATCTACCTGTACAGTTATCGTGTATATATACTTCAACACTTTTATCCTCATTTGAATGTGAATAGTTTTAACAAAGGTTTTGGCTAAGACTACTAGCTAACTTTGTGTGCAATTTTATCATTCCTATAGATGATTGAATGTGTAGAAAGAATTATTGTACAGTACTTAATTAAAAGGGGTTTGCTATTCCGTCCAATCAGGGTGTAGGGTCTTCAATTAAGTTTGAATAGTAGGCAAATGTATAGTTTATACCCGTATATGTAAATCTTGTTGGTTGTTTTTGTATTTTAAACCATTTTTCTGTTACAGAACTACAAATCCTGATAAAAGTTACAAGTGCCTTGGGTTTGCAGTGACCGTCATATTTATGACTTCTTAGGAATTCCTATTGTCAGCATTACTTGAAAGTGTCAATTGCATAATTGATGTTAACTGTAAATAAACGCAAGATTCAGAGATATATTCATTCTGTGTTTGATGTTGATTATGGACCCACTGCCAACTCATCCTGCCTTTTATTGAAGAATTTCCATGAGGTACATGTATTAATGTACATGTATTGTGACAGATGCAAGAAGTCATCAAATCCATTTATTGAAAGTTACATTCATATTTATGAGAACCAAAATGCATTTCATCATGCAAGGTAAAACACAAACAGCCAAATTACAAACCACTCGAGTATGAAACCAATTCTATTAAAAGTCAAAGGCAATGCGAATTCTGTGAAACTTTAATTCCCATTCTTTTAAGTACTAAAAATATCTTCTACCTTAAAATCACCCATTTTATACAAAACTGTAATCTGATATATACATACATAATACCCCTGACAATGATTTGAATACAATGAAATCTATTAATTTTAAATACGTACAAGGCACATGTGAAAAAAAAAATCAAGGGTGTGTCCTCACTACATGCGAAATACGTGGATAATTACATTTTCACTCTTCCTAAAAACAAAAACTCAAAAAGGTATCAGATAATTCTCAACTGAAAGTGGAGAGTTGTGTCCCGTATACAAACAGGAAATCAAATGCAATTATTCCACAAGCAGGCTGATAGTTTTATGGTTAATCAGGTAACCTTGATTATGTGCACACAATGATTTTAACTAGACCCACGCACTGTACACATCTGGAACAATGGTGCAGCTTTTAAAGAAGAAGAGTAGAATATTCTAACCAAGATGTACTGCAATGTGGGATAACACCACTTGGG